GTTATCATATATACCGTGATGAATAGATTAAGCGAATGTGATTGAAAGATCGAGGTATTATGCTAAGGAATTTTCCTCCGGAAAGCACGTTATTATTCTCATACAATTCATCCAGAACTGAAAATAGCGGTGCAGTCTTTATCAATGCCTATATGTGTCAAAAGCATTGTTAACGAATGCGTAAGCAGAGTCCGAATAGATCACACGTTTGAAGAAAAACTCACTGGAATAAGAGAATCGACTTTACGTTCAATGTTCAGAGCATTTTGTAAATAATTACATATCCTCTGGTGTGGATTACGTCGATTTTCAGAATTGTTAACGCCGAAACGCAGAACGTACTTATTGACATTCCACTCAATTTCGACAAACAAATCCTGGTGCGATAGAATTGTTCAAACAATACGTGAGACAAAATTTTGGACGGTCAGTACGACATAAAGTTAAAAAGCCAACCTCCGTATAATGAAGCTTTATCGTTCGAAGATCGAAAGAAATCAATTTCACTGATGACCCTTTGACGCATTTTTTCACTTACATCATTCCAAACGAAATTTAATACTGATGAGAACGAAGAATATCTTTGCGTAGAAGAAGCAGTTTTTTTTTCACATGCAAAATTCACCTTGTGTGGCAGTCTGACAGATCATCACGATATTATTCCAATCACCTAAAAACTTGTCGATATAGGGATCGGTGACGTTGTATTTAAATGATAGTATCTGTGAGGAAAGATCGTATTGAATATGGTCTATAAATTATTTTGGGCGAGGGTGTTGCGAACATTCATTAGTCATTGTAGTAATCATATTTTCCTATTGATTTCATTTCAACTTACCCATTGAAATAACGTCGCTTATTGTCGGCAGGTTGTCAGGTTTAAGGCTCGTTATCATGATTGCCTGAAAAGTTCGACGTTAATAATCCGGAGATGCTTAATTTCCAAGAGCACACAGAATGAACATTTACCGATGATGTTGAAGAGTCCATCAGTCGCGACCCAACGTAGCGAACATAAATGTCACCAAAGACATTCATGGCACCTTCTATTTCCACTGGAAGCCTAATCAACAATTGTCTCCGGTCCAATTTTAAAATTGGTATCGCCGAATTCAGTGATATAGAAGCATTGGAGTCCAGGAATTCGGTGGAACTGTCGGGCTGCACCGTGTTGAATGATAAATCATGTGATTTGAGGAGTTCTTCCATCTTACGGTATGAGATACGGGCGCTGGACATTATTAAGATAAGATAAGGAAGATATTAATGTAATCGTTCATCGGCTACCTCGCATAATAAATTAGATAGTTTCATACCGACAAAGGGAAGAAATCTTTGAAAGTAGAATGATTTCGTATTCAAATCTACGTAATGAAGCTTAGTCAAATCATCGAAATGTCACATCAAACGTTATTTGAGAAACAAACATACTCTGCCTCGGCTTGCTTCAGTTTTCTCTTTCGCGGTGAGTCAGATTCTTCCATTCGGTTATCGATTTCTTCGAAATTACGCTTTCCCGGAACAACCTCCGTTCCTTTTTGCTCCAAAATTTCGCCTTCTTGCAAAATCGATTTTCCTTTATCAATTATATCCACGATCGAATCAAGTCCTTCGTGATCCGAAAGGACCAAATCTTCCAGAGGTATCCGTTGAATGGACGTAATTCTGTGAGTAGGATCTCGCACGCTCTTATCGTAGATGTACCTTGTGGTAGCTACACGGCTATGTGTCAAGCATGAACATAAATAAACCGCACACATCACAAATTCCGACATGTTTATTTATACGGGAAATCAGGGTACCTTAAGACAGCAAGCCAATAACGCGATTCTCGCTCCAGCATTCCAAAAATAAGGAAATAATCGGTGTATTGTGGAAAACGAAGAAATAAGAGTTGCTTCGTGCCCAATCTTGCATTGTCCTCTATACTCAATATTACTCCACGATGGACGTCAAACTTCAAGTATTTGGCGGCATTTTCAATATGAGTCAACATTGAAGAAAATTTGATGTAGAGGAAGACCTCAGGAACAATACTCAGAAAGTCTGGTGTAATAACGAGCTTCTCCTCGCAAATCTTTATAAAGTCTTATGAAATAAGCCAAGTCATTTTGTGAATCGATGTACGTGTACGCGCATAATATATTCATTATCACTTTTCCCTACCTTCCTCTATATTCTTGTTGTTCTCCTCGATGACAATTCTACTACTGCGAATGTCCACACCCACTTTGACATATCTACTCTCGGAGAGCCATACGCGCAGCTTGATGACTTTCAGATATTTTTTTGCTACTTTATCAGATATCGGTGAATCATCGGATATAAAATCTTCGGGAAACTCTAGAATACACGAGACCAGACGAACAACACAGTTAAGCTGGATGCAACAGGTAAATCGTGAAGTAAGGATGTGCCACAAACCTTGATGTCCTTCTATGATTTCCACATCTTTTTCAAAAACTTCGGTGGAACAAAGTTTCTCCTTGAGACTTTTAATCCTTGACTCGGCATGTTTTTGCGTGACGTATAACAACAAGTGTTCGAAATTTAAATTTGCAGGATTCTAAAGATCGA